TTCTCAGGATAGAAGCCAAGACACAGCCTGTTTAAATGTGCATTAGATCATTTTACTCCTGTTTGTAAAACCTCTGATAATTATCTCACCCAGGGTAAGAGCCAAAGCCTACCCAGAAACACTGCTTGCCTCTCCCCTCTTCCTTGCTATCCCTTCTGTGCCAGACCTTCTGCCCATCCCAAGGCTTCTGTGGTTTGTTACTGGCTCTGTCTAGAAAGCTCTTCTCACAGACACCAATGCAGCACATCTTTTCATTCCCTTTTGCCACTTTTTCCTCCCTCTCCAGGGCACTTATACATTGACACACTAGTTAATTGTCTGATTATCTTAATCATCTTAAACTTAATTATCTGATTTTCTGTGTTACCAGACCAAAATGCTTAATGCTAGCAAGATTTTTTTTATGTTCCATTCTTTCAAGTTCTATTATACTTATAAATATAGGCAGTCAAATATTTGTTAAATGTTGAACTGAATCTGAAGATTGAATTTTATATGTCAGGCACTCTAAGTGCCACTCTAARTTTTACATGATTCCATGACTTAAAAACTTTAAAACTTCATAAATCCAAGCCTTCTTGTCCTTTATATGAGGGTGGGAGATTTCACTACATTTTTCTTTTTGCGGGGGACGGGGATTGAACTGGGGGCACTCAACCACAGAGCCACGTCCCCAGCCCTATTTATATTTTATTTAGAGACAGGGTCTCACTTAGTTGCTTAGTGCCTTCCTTTTGCTTAGGCTGGCTTTGAACTTCCTGCCTCAGCTTCCCAAGCCACTGGGATTACAGGAGTGCATCACTGTGCCTGGCTCACTATATTTTTCTTTAAACTGTTTTCTTTTTAGGGGACATATATATTACTGGTAAATTTCAGTTCAGTTGCAACAGATATGAACTCTGAAGACTAAATCCCTAGGAATATTCTCTGAGGGGATGGGAGGAAGAACAACAATGACTATTAGCTGTAAGAAAAAAAAATGATGAAAATAAATTTATTGGTACTTGAGCAAGTTTCTAAAACAACAGTAAATCCCTTCATTTACTAAAGGCAGAGCCAATATAATCCTCAACAGTAAAGCAAGTTAATATGTTAATAATACAACAAGAAAACATGCAATTAAGAGTAATTAAAGCTATTAACAATGACCAAACAACATGAGAGTCTGGACCTGAGAGTCTGGAGCCCAGTTCAGCAATAATACGAAAAAAGTTCAATACAGCTTGCCCTAGTACCAGTGCAAATATCATTAAAAGGAATGAGTCCCCTGGCTTTGTGGCGCACACCTGTCGTCTCAGTGACTTGGAAGGCTGAGACAAGATAATTACAAGTTCAAGCCAGCCTCAGCAACTCAGTAAGACCCTATCTCAAAATAAGAAAATGAACACATTGGGCTGTACCTCAGTGGTAAGCACTCTTGGGTTCAATCTCTAGTACCAAAAACAAAGAAATGGGTCTTAGTGGGTTGGGGTTGTGGCTCAGTGGTACAGTGTTTCCCTAACATGTGTGAAGCACTGGGTTCAATTCTTACCACCACATATAAATAAATAAAATAAATGCCCACTGACAACTAAAAATTTAATTAATTAATTAATTAATTAATTAGGTCAATATCAGGGTGCAGGTGGAGCCCTAACTATAGAGGATCATAAATAAATCAATATAAATATTTTAAACCTTTTTAAGATTAAAGCAAAAGTTTCTTTTTAACTCTAACATACCTACATGTGATACAATATTCATGCTTTTTCTTGAACTTTGGGTAATAGAAGTTCATATCCCCTCCACCCAGATTTTTTCCTGCCCCTRTACTGGGGATTGAACCAAGGGTCTCCTATATACTAACTAGGCAAGTGTTCCACAGCTGAGCTGTATATATTGCCAGCCCTTTCCCTTTTTTTGGTACCAGAGACTGAACCCAGGGGCATTTAACCACTGAACCATATCCTCAGCCCTTTATATTTTTTATTTTGTGAAAGGGTTTTGTTAAATTGCTTAGGGTCTCCCTAAATTCCTCAGGCTAGCCTCAAACTTGTGATCCTCCTGTCTCAGCCTCCACAGAAGCCCCAATTACAGGCACCACCATGCCAGGGCTCAATCCAGACTCAAGTAAATTTTTAAGTAAATGTTATAATTTATCTATAAATATTACTGTAAGTTCTAATATTTAGAAGTTCTAAAACATAAACACAATATCATCAYACCCTTAAAAATTAACAATAATGTGTTAGTACCACATAGCCAGTATTCAAATCTCCCAAAGACTAAGTTTACAATTAATTGCTTAGAATCAGTATCATTCCAAACAAGATCTCTACATCATATTTTAGTTAATATGTCTTTTATTTGTGTGGGGTGGGGGGTAGTAACTGGGGATTGAACTCAGGGGCACTCGACCACTGAGCCACATCCCCAAACCTATTTTTGTATTTTATTTAGAGACAAGGTCTCACTGACTGGCTTGGCGCCTCTCATTGCTGAGGCTGGCAATCCTCCTGTCTCCGCTTCCTGAGCCACTAGAATTACATGCATGCACCACCGCACCCAGAGGTGCTTTTTAATGTATAGCTCTCTGGAGTCAATTCCTCTTATCATTTGTTGAAAAAAATACCAAACACTTGCCCTGTAGAATTTCTTCCTTTCTAAATTTTATTGATTGTATATTACACCAGTGTTTTTTAGCATATTCTTCAAATCTCGTACAAAGTAGCCCTCCCTTAAGAATATGTTCCAAAACACTCCTAGTGGTGCCTTAAACTATAGATAGTATACAGAACCCTAAATATACTGTGTGTATGTGTATGTGTGTGTGTGTATGCATGATAAAATTTATAAATTAGGCACAATAAGAGATTAAAACAATAAATCATTGTATATAGGTTCATGCTTTCTGGCATAACTCATTCTGTCAGAATGAGATTTTTACTCATGTCTTTTCCCCTCAAAATTTCATGCCATTTCCATCTTAAATAAGCACTTACCACATTCTATAACCATAACTTTTGCAGTGTGAGATGCAACAGCAAAAATAGCATGAATTTATTTTTCCTTCTTCACAGTGTTACAAATAAATTTGTTATTACCATAACCTCAGCAATCTCAAAACATATATTTTTTTCCTTATTTAAATCAAGAACTTTTACCTTTTCGTTTAAAGGGAGTACTTTGAAGCTTCTCTGACATATCTGTATTGCCAATATCACTGCTCTTAATATATGGCTTTGAGGCCACTATTAAGTCAAATAAGAGTTATTTGAACATAAGCAATGCAGGACAGCTACTAGTGACTATAGGCTACAGTGTGGATATGCCAGGATGATTCATGTCCTGGATGGAACATAAACAAGATTTCATTACACTATTCAAAACAGTGCACAAACTAAAATGTATGAAGTTCATTTCTCAAAATTTTTCATTATTATCTTCAAACTGAGGTTGATTTCATGTAACCGAAATGGCAAAAAGCAAAGCCACAGATAAGGACAGGATTACTGCATTTGGTTTTCCAGGAAAGCTTTGCAAGATCAATGTTTGATTTTTTTCCCCTTGCTCTCAGAATTAACTGGATTCTGTAGTATTTCCCAAAGATGATCAGGAAGGTGTTTATTGTTATTAGTTTTAGCATTATGCAGTTGATATGTTTTGATCCTCATATATTTCTCCTTTTATTTGCCCACTTTGTCCAGTGAGCAATCAGTCTGGTGGGAAGCCTTTCAAACCTCTGTCCTCCCTTTCTTACTTTCTGGTATGACAAAATGTTCTGAATACATCCAGTCCCAGGACTACAATCAAGCATCTCTCCATGAATCCCTGGTTTCTTTTACAGGAAATAGTAACAAATACGTTATCATACCCTATCTCCCATTCTTGTGAAATTTCCTTGTTTTCTCCCTCCTCCCCATTACTCCAAAATCAATATAAAGTACCTAACTGGCTCTCCAACTAATAGGTAATGTTCCATATAGCTATCTACCCCAATCTAAGAAACTTATCTTGACACGGATTAAAAGGAAAAAGGAGGAGTAGGAGTCACAGACAAAACAGGAAAAAAAGCTAAAACTTTTTTTAAAATTAAGATAAAAGTGGGCTGGGGATGTGGCTCAAGCGGTAGCGCGCTCGCCTGGCATGCGTGCGACCCAGGTTCGATCCTCAGCACCACATACCAACAAAGATGTTGTGTCCGCCGAGAACTAAAAAATAAATATTAAAAATTCTCTCTCTCTCTCTCTCTCTCTCTCTCTCTCTCTCTCTCTCTCTCCTCTCTCACTCTCTCTTTAAAAAAAAATTTAAAAAAAAAAGATAAAAGTAATAAAGTTTGAGTATACCTATTTCAAAGAACAAACTGCATTTTTCCTACCTTCAGTTACACTTCCTACAATTTGAAACTCAATTTTTGCTTTATTATATGCATTTATGCAACCAAAAAATAAGATCAAACTTCAACTTGAAAACATAATTATCAGAAATTTTTAAATCAGTTTACAAACAAATCTGATATGGTCACTTTCTAAACCAGAGACCCAGAGGGGACAAGTAGAATGACAGCACCAAATGGCCAGTCAGAAATATAAGAAAGCTCTGGCCACTTAATGAGCAACTCAGTGTTTATTTCCACCACCACCCCTTTTTTTTAGGAGGGAAAAGTGTCATTGGGTCTCCTCTTCAATGTTTAGCAAAAGGTAATCTTCTAACAAATAATCAAATAACCTTTCCAATCCAAGCCTGAGGCAGATTGCAAAGACCTGAGAAGTTTAAATGTTGCTCAATTTGGATTTTAAGCAATATTGTTCCACTTCCATTTTACAACAAAAATGATATAATTTACTTGGTAAGACATTTTTTAAAATCCAACAGTCCTGATTTATTTCTAATAACTTATAAATTTCCCATGTTACTTTAAATGAACCCAAAAAGAATTTTAAAACTAAACAATTTTGAAACAAAACATACAGCAAATAAAGCTCCAATAACATTACAAAAAAAAAATGTTTAGCAATTACTTATCAGGTGATCAGTCAGCCATTGAATTTATTATTGAAGTTTCTTCAATCATAGTTCCAGACATTTGGTACAACATGCTTTTACTGAAAAAAAAAATCTCACTCAACAAATGTTTACCAGCTTACTAAAACTTATTTACTCTTCTAACAGTCACCTATTGCACAATTCTCATCTTACAAGAGATCTCTTGCTGATCTCCAGAGCATGAAATCAGAGATGGCTTCAGTATGTAGATCCACAAGTAAAAATAGAACAGATTCCAGCAACTCAACTTGAGAAGGCAGAGGAAGAACATAACAAGCCTTATTTAAGAAAACAACTCATGGTTGTATTCCAAATCATAAAATGGAAGGTGATATTTGCCATGATTTGGATACAAACTGTTGAATAATTTAATATTCTACTCTTTGAACTAGTTTTACTTTAGGATTACTAACAGAATTCTAACATCTGCTACTGATATGTCTATACAGCATTCAAAATTGCTACACCAAACTTTTTCTCTTGCCAGGCACAGTGATGCACATGTGTAATCCCAGCAGCTCAGGAAGCTGAGGCAGGAGGATCACAAGTTCAAAGCCAATCTCAGCAACTTAGGGAGACCCTGTCTCAAAAATAAAAAGAAGGGCTGGGGATCTGGCTCAGTATCTAAAAGCCCTGGGTTCAATCCCTGGTAACAAAACAAAACAAAACAAAAAACTTTTTCTCTTTATAAAAATGACTAACTTTAAAATGCTAATGTGATTTACTCCCAAGCATCTGAAGTTCCCCCAACTGTCCTAACTTTTTAAAATACCTGAATAGTTCCCAGATTAAATATCACAGTGATGTTTTCTAACTCCTTCAGCTATATGGTTCTCCAATTTTATGACAATTATAAGTTTGAGAGTCTTCTCTACTAAACAAAAGCACATCCTAAAAGAAGCAATTTCTCCAGTATCTCCCAGACTCAATATTTTTTAAAGAAAGCATTTAAAGATTTATTTAATGATTGAGAATACCTCCAATCAAGAGCYAATTCTCTTTAAAAAGTTTGAATCCTGGGGCTGGGATTGTGGCTCAGCAGTAGAGTGCTCGCCTAGCAGGTGCGAGGCCATGGGTTCGATCCTCAGCACCATATRAAAATAAATAAACAAAATAAAGGTATTGTGTCCAACTACAACTAAAAAAWWAAAAAAAAWAATAAGTTTGAATCCTATTTCCAATATACCAACCAGCAAATTTCTATCCCATATAGTATGGCTAAAGTAATGAATTTAGAACACTGTGAAGTCAGGTCAAACTAAATTTCAACTAGAACATTCATTTCAAAATAATAAAGTATTCACAGAATTTCTCATTTTGGACAATGTTACTCTCCAAATTAAACTACTTGTAAAGATGTGCATCCAAGACTGAAAAAATAACTTATAATGAAATGGCAGGGCCATTGTTGTCTATTTAAACCACTTAGATAATATAACCAACCATATTATCTCCATAATAAATATTGTCTTCACACTCCTACAGAGAATATGCTTTTTTCTAGATCATTCAAAAATGGTATGAGATCATGAAAGAACCACTAACAAGAAAAACGGCCAGAATACAATCATTTTTTTAAACTCCATTACTTTATAACTTAACCCATAAAGAAATAGTCTCCAAAGGCCCATTGGAATGATTCATATGGTAAATGAAAGTATACCAGAAAGGATCAGGGCAGAAAACTAAAGTACTTTAGATGTTTTAAGAAGGAATTTAGGGCTGGAGTTGTGGCTCAGTGGCAGAGCGCCTGCCTCACACAAGTGGGGCACTGGGTTTGATCCTCAGCACCACATAAAAATAAATACACAAAATAAGGATATTGTGTCCATCTATAACTTAAATTTTAAAAAAAGGAATTTAGTAGCAGGGTGCAATGGCACACACCTACAACCCCAGAAGTTCAGGAGGCCGAGGCAGGAGAATCATGAGCTCAAGGCAAGTCTCAGCAACTCAGGAAAGCCCTAAGCAACTTAGCAAGACCAAAAATGAGTCTCAAAATAAAATATAAAAAGGGCTGGGGATATGGTTCTGTGGTTAAGCGCCTCTGAGTTCAATCTCTGGTAACAAAAACATTAATTATTTTTAAAAAGGAATTTAATGAGGAATTGGATGCTTAAAATATTAGAATATATTAGATATAAGTTAAAGATAGAATTTCCAGTATAAAATACAGAACTGACCCATCAGCAACCTTGGAACTAAAAGTTCAAAAACAGCCCAGCAATCATCAGATTCAGAAAGATGATATCAAGAAGAAATCATGTTGGGCTGGGGATGTGGCTCAAGCGGTAGCACGCTCACCTGGCATGCGTGCTGCCCGGGTTCGATCCTCAGCACCACATACAAACAAAGATGTTGTGTCCGCCGAAAACTAAAAAAAATAAATATTAAAATTCTTTCCTCTCTCTCTCTCTCTCTCTCTCTCTCTCTTTAAAAAAAAAAAAAGAAGAAGACGAAGAAATCATGTTGCATGCATGCCTGTCATCCCAGCAACTTAGAAGAAGGATCATAAATTCAAGAGCAGCCTGGACAATTTAGTAAGACCCTGTCTCAAAATAAAATTTTAAAAAGGGCTAAGGACACAGCTCAATGGCAGAGCATTTGCCTAGCACATGTAAAGCCCTGGGTTCAATCCCCAATACCACTAAATAAATAAACAAACGAATACATGACAGAAATGAAGAAGTAAGCACTTTTAGGATTGGTTAGTACAGTGGCCCATGTCTTCATTTTTCCTCTCTAAAGTCTTTAGTGTTGGCTTTTGGATGCTATATAACCCTTACCATGGACCTGCTCTGACTTGCAGATTTAAACACTAGGAGTTATTCATTGTCTCTTATTATAGTTTGTGTGGGTCAAAAATCTGGGAGTGCCTTAGATAGGTGGCTATGGCTCAAGATCTCTCATCCTTTCATTGAGGGCAGACTGAGGCTTCAGTTTGAAGGTAGCTCACTCACATGGCTGGAAAATGGGTGCTGGCTGCTGGCTCCTCTCCACATGGGTCCTCCACAGCTTGAGAGTCTCCACAATATGGTGGCTGGGTTCCTCCACTGGGAGCATCAAATAGGGACCAAGGCAGAAACTGCAACACTTTTCATGACAAAGCCTTCCAGCTCTGCATTCTGCTGCATCCTACTGGTTACACAGACCCATACTGATTTATTATGAGGGGACTACCCAAGGGCATGAATACCAGGAGGCAAAACTCACTGAAGAGCATCTTGTACCACACCCTCCATTCTGAGACTTGCCTTCTCACATGTAAGAAAAGAAGAAAGTATGGTGGCACATGCCTATAATCCCAACTACACAGAAGAATCTCAGGTTCAAGGTCGGCCTGGGCAATTTACTGAGACCCTGTCTCAAAATAAAATTTGAAAAATGATTGGGGACATAACTCAGCAGTACAGCATTTGCCTAGCACATGTAAGCCCCTGGGTTCAATCCCTAGTACTACTGGAAAAAGACTTACATAAATGAAGATAAATGAAGAAGCTATTCATTCCCTATGGTATAAACAAGGTTGTTTGTTTAAGGAATGAGAGACTCAATATTATTCAGATGTCGGACATGGTGACTCACAGGAAGACTGCCAGGGTTGAGGCAAAACTCAGTAACTTAGCGAGACCCTATGTCACTTAGTGAGACCCTGTCTCAAAATAAAAAATAAAAAGGGCTTGGGATGTGGCTAATTGATTAGGCACCCTGGGTTTAATGCCTAGTACACCAAAAAAAGTCAATTTTCCTCACATTAATCTTTATAGTCACTGTAATTCCATTTGAAATCATAGCATGCTTTTTTTGTTGTAGAAAATGACAAACAACTGGCTTGCAAAAACTTTCAAAGACCAAAAAATAAAAAGTGTGAAATTGGAGGATATAATTTCAAGACCTGCTATGCATCAATAATCAAAAAATTGTGATACTCGCCTAAGAGAAGACATATTGATTAATGTAATATAATCATAATGTAATATAATCAGAGTTCCAAAAGAAGACTATACTAGAAGTTGGTGAGCAAGTTTTCAACAAAAGTTCCAAAGTAATTCAACAGGAAAATAACAGTGTTTTCAAGAAATAATGTTGGAACAATATGATTAATCCTTAAAAACATTAAGCTAAGTAAAAGACGCCATATACCAAGAACACATATTGTATTATCTTATTCTGGACATTTATACGAAATATCCCGAAAAGGGACAGACAGTAGATTAATAACTTGTGTCTGGGAATAAAGCTGGTGAATACTAATGTGCAAGAAATTTCCGGTGGGGGGGTGGTAATTAAAAAGAAAGTTGGAAGGCTGTGATAATGACTGCACAATTCTATAAATATACTTTTAAAACACTGAACTAGGGCTGGGATTGTGACTCAGCGGTAGAGTGCTCGCCTAGCATGGGCGGGACCCGGGTTCGATCCTCAGCACCACATAAAAATAAAGGCATTGTGTTGTGTCCATCTACACCTAAAAAATAAATGTTTAAGAAAAAAAAAAAAACACTGAACTATATATTTAAAATGAGTGAATTCTATGGTATAAAAATTAAACCTCAATAAAGCTGTCATTTGAAAGAGCATGCATACATAAAACAGCTATAATAAAAAATTAGAATAATTAAAAGTAGATTTAAAAATAAAAAGAGCAGGGCTGGGGATGTGGCTCAAGCAGTAGCGTGCTCGCCTGGCATGCGTGCAGCCAGGGTTCGATCCTCAGCACCACATACAAACAAAGATGTTGTGTCTGCGGAAAACTAAAAAATAAATAAATAAATATTAAAATTCTCTCTCTCTCTCCCTCTCCCTCTTTAAAAAAATAAAAATAAAAAAATAAAAATAAAATAAAATAAAAGAGCATATGTTCTTGGAAATCAGAAAGAGAAATGATTGCCAAAGTGAAAAATTAAATGGGCAATTTAAACAATAGGCATGCCTCAGAACCTAAGAACCAAGTTACTAACCTGAGAAACAAAGTGGAAGAAGGTTCTATAAAAGACAGAAAAAGTGTACTATGAATAAAAGAGGACAAGAAAAAGGGATTAAAGAATTCAAACATCTGATTGACAGGAGACAAAGGAGGGGATTATGGAGGAAAGGTCCCTCCC